TGGTCCCCGCGGTGACTGGCGGAAGGGCCCCGGCTACACGGGGCTCGCCCGGGAGGGAGGCGGCCGCGGAAAGGCCGCGGTGCCGGAAGGAGGCCGAGCCGGGGCTGGTTCTCGGTGGTGCGCCGTGCGGGGTGGGGTGGAGGGGGGCGCGCACAGCCCGGGCACCTCCGTCCCCCCCCCCCCCCCCCGTGTCCAGGAGGAGGAAACTGAGGCCCGAGGAGGCGAGGGCTCGGCCCAGGCCGCCGCCGGCTCCCGGAGCCACGGCGCACCAGCTGGGGAGTTCTGCCCAGCATTTCCGCTTCCTGCCTGGCGCAGAGATGGTTCCTTCCCCACCCCAGCCCCAGCCAGGTTCCTGGGGGGAGGAAAGGGGGGGGACGTGTGGGCCCGGGACCGGAGCCTGGCTGGGGGCCTCGGTCCTGTGAGTGTGCGGGCCGGGGCCTGGGTGTGCACCCGCCGGAGGGGATGTCCGGGAGACCCCGGCTCTGCGCCCCGGAGGCCATGGAAGGCCCCTTCGTCCTTCTAGGCCTCAGTTCTTCCACCAGCCCGAGGGCAGGAGGCCCAGGCGGGACCGGTTCCCACGACCGCAGGAGGCGGCCCCTCGGGTGCCAAGTTGTATCTGCAGGCAGATGGCGGGGCCCTGTGGCCGGAGCCCGTGGCCCTCGGGGGCGGCTCTGCCTGGCCTCGGGCCGCGCAGGGCGCGCATGCAGCAGCCGAGGCCTTGGCAGCCTCCTGCAAAAACCCTTCATTTTCCCAAGTCTCATTGTAATTAAGGCGGCACAGAAACGAGCGCAGTGGCAGATGCGGGCGCTGCCAGGGGCGGCTGGGCCGGGCGGGGCCTCCGGTCACCATTCCGAGTGTGCAGACGCCGGTGGCCTGTGTTCCCGTGGCCCAGACCGGGAAGCAATGGCACCTGAGAAGGCCAGTGGGGAGGCCCGGCTGTCCCGAGCTCTCCCTGGCTGGGGACTGGGCACCGGACACCTGCCAGGCCCAGAATGGAGATGAGTGCAGAGGGACCCTTCCATGGGTCCCCAGAGACCTCAGGGCACAGCACAGCATCACATGGCGATCGCTACCCCGTCCTCCACACCTACTATGTGTGCGGCAGCAGCAGCAGCCTGTACCATCTCCATAGCAACACTTGGAAGCCGTGTCCTTGTCACTAGGCACTTAGTCATGTGGAAGAATGGATGGGAATGGGAGGAGAAGCTGGTCTGTGAACTCCAGGGCTTGTTGGAAACAGCCCACCAAAACTCCCCAACTACCAGCAAGGGAGGCCCACGGGCTGAGTAGGAGTTGGGCAAGTGAAGAGTAGAGACAGGCTACAGGAACATGGTGGAGGCCTGCAGGGGAGGGGTGAGAAGGGCCAGAAGAGGCTCAGTCTTGCTGAAGTGTGTGGAGGCCGAGGGTATGACTGTGAGGGTGGGAGAGAGCCTCCTCCCTGCGGAGGCGTGGTGCTCCCTGGGAGGCGTGGTGCTCCCTGCGGAGGCGTGGCGCTCCCTGGGAGGCGTGGTGCTCCCTGCGGAGGCGTGGTGCTCCCTGCAGAGATGTGGTGCTCCCTGCGGAGGCGTGGTGCTCCCTGGGAGGCATGGTGCTCCCTGCGGAGGCATGGTGCTCCCTGGGAGGCGTGGTGCTCCCTGGGAGGCATGGTGCTCCCTGGGAGGCATGGTGCTCCCTGGGAGGAGGAGGAGTGGTGCTCCCTGTGGAGGCGTGGGAGTGGTGCTCCCTGTGGAGGCGTGGTGCTCCCCGGGAGGAGGAGGAGGCATGGTGCTCCCTGTGGAGGCGTGGGAGTGGTGCTCCCCGGGAGGAGAAGGCGTGATGCTCCCTGGGAGGAGGAGTGGTGCTCCCTGTGGAGGCGTGGGAGTGGTGCTCCCTGCAGAGGAGTGATGCTCCCTGCGGAGGCGTGGTGCTCCCTGCGGAGGCGTGGTGCTCCCTGGGAGGAGGAGGAGTGGTGCTCCCTGCGGAAGAATGGTGCTCCCCGGGAGGAGGAGGCGTGGTGCTCCCTGTGGAGGCGTGGTGCTCCCCGGGAGGAGGAGGAGTGGTGCTCCCTGTGGAGGAGTGGTGCTCCCTGTGGAGGCGTGGTGCTCCCTGGGAGGAGGAGGCGTGGTGCTCCCTGGGAGGAGGAGGAGTGGTGCTCCCCGCGAAGGCGTGGTGCTCCCCGGGAGGAGGAGGCGTGATGCTCCCTGGGACCCTGGTGCCCAGAGGAACCCTAGGCTCACTGTTGAGAGTTGTCGCAGTCCTTCCTTTCCTGTAGCTGTCACTAGGCTGGTGGAGAGGCTGAGTCCCTGTCCATCCCTGCCACTAGTTGGCTGTGTGACTCCTGGCAAGGCCTGGGCCTCTCTAGGGCCATCACAGAGGCTGAGTACCTGTTGTAGTGAGAGGTCACCAAGCACAGAGCCCAGCAGGCAGCTTATGAGCAGAAAGCTGACCAGAGCTGTTGGTGATCCAGTAGTTAGAGTGACAGGCTCATGAGTGAGCAATTGTGTGAGCAAGCAAATCTTTGAGCAAGTGGATGAATGAATGAACCAGAGGGTGAGTGAGAGAGGTTTAAGTGGATGAATGAATGGCAGCATTGATGAGTGCAGAAGCAAGAGGAGGGAATGAGCTTGTAGACCAAGGAGTGTGAGTGGATGGACGAGCGGATGGACAAATGAGTGAATGGAGTGGCCAGTGGGTGGAGAGGGAGCAGATGAGTGAAGGAATGGGTGAGTGAGCAGGTGGATGAGTGAGGGAGTGAACGCCTAGATGGCTGGCTGAGAAAGTGAGTGAATGAGTGACAAACAAGCTTGTGAGTGACTCAGTGAGTGGATGAGTGAGCAGATGCATTAGTGAACTAGTGAATAGATGAGTGTATGGATGGACGTGTGAGCAAGCGGATGGGTGAGTGAGCAAGCGGATGAACAAGTGGATGGATGAGTGGATGGTTGAACAGATGAGTGGATGAATAGATGTGATGGGTAAGTGAGTGAGTGAGTGGATGGGTAAGTAAGTGGACGGGTGAGCGGATGGGTGAGTGGGTACATGTGTGAGAGGATGGGTGAGTGAGTGGGTGAATGAGTGAAAGTAAGATGGGTGGATGGTGAATGAGAAAGATGAGTGAGTGAATGTGTGAGTGGATGAATGAGTGGGTAAATGGATGGATGAGTGAGTGGATGAATGAGTAGATGGACCAATGAGTGAGTGAATGTGTGTGTGGAGTAATGAGTGGGTGGACGAATGAGTGAATGAATGTGTGGGTGGGTGGATGAGTGAGTACATGAGTGAACGTGAGTGGATAACTGAATGAGTGAATGAATGTGTGGGTGGATGAATGAGTGAGCGGATGAATGAATGTGTGGTAGAGAATGAGTGAGTAGGTGAATGAGTGAATGGATGAATGAGTAGATGTGTGGGTGGAGAGTGAGTGGATAAATAAATGAGTGAATGAATGTGTGGGTGGATGAATGAATGAGTGGATGAGTGAATGGATGAATGAGTAGATGGATGGGTGAGTGGATGGATGTGTGAGTGGCTGAATGAGTGAGGGGGAAGTGGGTGAGTGAGTGACTAGTGAATAGGCAGGTGGTCCAGTTCACACTCCTCTACACAGCCTCCCTAAGCCCCCACCCTGTGGCTCACTGGCTCCTCATATGAATTTGACCTTGCAGAGTTCATGATCTGCTGGGAATCATGGAACCCCACCCGTTGGGGCAGGGGTTACAAAGATGCTTCTCTGCCTCACTAACTGGCCTTGAAAGGGCCTGACCCCAACAGGCCGTGAGCCTTTCTAAGAATTTCCTAGGCAGGGACCCACGGCTGCCCCACCTGGGGCCAGCTGCAGGCATATTCCAGCTGCAGGCTCCGGGGCGTGGAGCTGGTCAGACCCGCCCCGCCCGGCGGGTCCTGCGGGTGGTGAATGCTGGGATGAGATGCCCAGGACTAGGGAGTGACGTGGACACACGGAATCATGGGACTGGGTGACGGTGCGCGCATGCCAGACAGGTAGCAAAACAGAGACGCTGGGCAGGAGATGAGCTCGGCAGATAGGAGTGGGGTACAAGGGAGGACGGGCGGACGAAGGGAAAGGCTGATGGAGATGCAGGAGTGAATAGCTCGAAGAGAATGCCCATGGCTGCAGGGAGGATGGACTTCTGTTGCACTAGGCAAGACTGACAGATAAATGGATGGAAGAATTTAAAAATGGATGGATGGTAACGTAGATGTTGGTGGAAGGATGGATGAAAGACAGACGGATTTGAGAGTACATACAGGATGGATAAACACAGGCATGGAGAAGCAGATGGAGGCGTGAGTGGAGGCCGTTATGAGGGAGCACTGCCAAAGGTGACACTGAGTCAGTTAGAAAATGGCTGTAGGACCAGTTGGGCGGATGGATACACAATTAGGTGAGTGGGTAGATACAGGACTGGATGGGCGGATGGATATGGGGAGGGATGCTGAGAGAGGCTATACTGTGGGCGAACAGACATGGCACATGCGTAGACCCAGACATGGAGTGTGGCCTTTCCCCACATGGTCAAAGGCCAACAGGGGGACACAGGAACATGAGTGACAGGAAAGATACATGAGTGAGCGACTAGCCAGAGGCTACAGGAGTCAGATGCATGTGGGGATGTGTGCAGGTCAGAAGACTGTGCTGCCATGGATGAAGGATGGCTGGGCCAAGACAAAGGGGCGGAGCTTCAGACCAGTGATTCCCTCAGTTTGCTGTGTTGATACTTTGCTCCCATACCCCCAGCTCTCCCTGGTTCAGAGACAGAAGCTGAGCAGGCTTCAGGGCTGGGGAGGAAGCAGCCTTGCTGACACACATACAGAAGGCATAGAGGAGAAAACCCAGCCCAAACCAGGCCTGCCTCTGCTGGCTGTGCTCAGGGATGGGAGGAGAGCTGGCGGGACCCAGGGTAGACACACAGGGCACCAAATGTGGGGGGCGGGAGCTTGCACCCATGCAGCAGAGCGCCGCAGTGGTGTGGAGAAGTCCCAGGGCAGGTTGGAAACATCTAGAGACCTCTCAGCCCCTCGGGGGCCTGCTGTGTAAAGCTGGTGATGGCAGATGCTGTGGGCTAGGATGGCGGAGAGTGAAGTCTTGGGGTGGTATGTGGCATGTGGCTGCCGATGTCCCCCACAGCCCCCCAGAGCCCAGCCTGCCCCCACCCCGAAGGCAGGGCAGATTCTCCTGACCTGGAGGGGTGCTGTGCGAACTAAGTCTTCCCAGCCGTCCGTCTGTCCGTTCGCCTGCAGAGACAGTGCACACCCAGGAGAACTGGGTGCCATCCAGGAGCTGAGACTCTTTCTGGGCAGCCGAGGGGAGCAGTTGTGATGGGCGGCCACATCCTCGGGACCTCCGGCCGGTGGCTGACACCCAAGGGGTTGTTATGACAACAGAAACTTGTCTGATGTAGTTTGAAACTCAGAAAGACTCCAGGACCAGCTGGCCAGGGCTCCCCTAGGAGTCCTGTAGACACCCATGTCCATGCAGCGGGTGGTTTAGCGCCCCTGTGCCAAGGAGCCCTGAGGTCTCGCGAGGCTCTGATTCCTTTGCTGGCAGCTGAGGAGGCACATGTCTTGCTCTAGGGCTTCCTGCAGTGTGGGACAGAGGATCTGAGCCACCCGGTGGTCTTCCTGTAAGTCTGGGGAAGCCGTCCAGATGTAGAGCAACTGTCCACAGACGTTTTCCAGGGCCTCATACAGAATGAGGCCACACCAGGCCGTGAGGCTCACGAACCCAGCGCCCAGACCTGTGTGTCATTCACTCCTCCATCCATCTACCCATTTAACATCCACCCACCCATCCGTCATCTACTAGTGCATCATCCATCCATCCATTTCATCTTCCACCTGTTCACGTCTTCCCTTCATCATCTATCCATCCACTCATCCATTCCCCATCCATAGGTACACCCACCATCTAGCCATCTTCTGAGCCATCCATCCCTCCATCCACCCCTCTAGTCATTCTATCCACCCATTCACTAGTCTCATTGGGCACCTACTGTGTGCTAGGTTTTATGCATTCATATATACATCCATCCACTCCTCGTCTATTCATTCATCCAACTATCCATCTATCCATTCCACCCATTCATTCAAGGTTTTGTTGAGCACCTCCTGTGTGCTGGGTTTTATGAAGCTAGGTAGGAAACGGCAGAGCTTACATTCTAGTGATGGAGACAGACACTGAGCTAATAAACTCCTGGAACCTGATATGGCAAGCACAGGTTAGAAGATGACTGGTGCAATCTGGGGGACAGGCTGAGGCCCCGAAGATTCACCCGGCATAGATGATGAAAAGAAGCAAGGAGAGAGAAAGAGAGTGTTCCTGGTAAAGGGAGTAGAAAGTGCAAAGGCCCCGAGACCAATCTGGAGTTGAACACTTTCCCAGGTTCCTCTGAGCATAGGCAGCAGACAAGACCTAAGGCCTTTCTGAGGCTCTGCTGCAGTCATAGCTCCCGAAGCTCTGGGGTTGGGTGGAGCGAGGACAGCCACCGGGGAGACCCTGGCAGAATGACCAAAGGCATCTAGGTGGAGAGGGAGGAAGGTCGTCAGCGTGGGGCAGGGTACCGGGCTGCTTCTGAGCCTCTTGGCCAGCTGAGCCTGAGGTCCCTAGATCCCCCCCCCCACATACACACACAATAAGACAGGTGTCATGGGAACCCAGAGAGGTACCCAACTGCTCCCAGAAAGCGCCTTGGTACCCGGTGTGCGGCGTCTGAGCGGGGCTCCAAGAGCACAGTGTGGGCAGGGAGGGCCTCAGCTGGGCTCCAGGCACCACCGGGGCCAGCGTCAGGGCTGGGCCAAGGACGTGGGACCCAGGGCCCATCGAACCGAGACCAGAATTAACAGTGACACAAGCTAGAGGATGGGCTTATTTTTCTCTCATTAAGGAAGTGTCATTGTCAAGGTACAGGGCTGGGATGGTTGGAATGAGGTTTTCATTTGTCTTTCTGTTCTACCATTTATGGAAGGTTTCTGCCACAGGTTTGCAATATGGTGCAATATGGTTGCCCCAGCCACATTTTCCAGAGGTTGGGGAGTGGGGCACAGGCAAGCTGTCTGGTCTTTTTGAAGGAGCTCCTCCATGGACACACCCCACGTCTGTTTGTCTTTTATTGAGTACCCCTGGCTGCAAAGGCACCTGAGAAGTTCAGTCTCAGGAGGGTTGTTTTTTCTTTCTTTTATTTCTGGTTGTGGGACTTGAACTCTGGGCCTGGGCACTGTCCCTGAGCTCTTCGGCTCAAGGAGAGCACACTACCATTTGAGCCACTTCCAGCTTTCTGGTGGTTAAGTGGACTTTCCTGTTCCTGCCTGGGCTGGCTTTGAACCGCGATCCTCAGACCTCAGCCTCCTGAGGAGTTAGGATGACAGGCGTGAGCCTGGTGCTGGCTTTCGGGCGGGCTCTTGATAAGGAAGAAGAGAACAGTGGAAGTAGTGGTGTATTGCTGCCCTTCCCCCATGTAAGCACTTCCCCAGTGGTGGTTCTCACCTGTCTGTCCCCTGGTCCATCTCGGCCTGCCAGGGCGTGGGAGCAGCGCTGGGAGTGGCTGGGTCAGACAGCCTGGGCTGTGGGCTCTGGGAGGCACTGTGGTCCTCTCCTCCCAGCCCTGGGCAGATCCCAGGACGTGACCTTGTCCCAGCCGGCTGTGTCTAAGCCCTGGAGCTCAGCTCCCATTTAGCGACAATCAATCTGGGGGCGGAGGCCACTCTCAGGGTCGATGGGTGGGTAGGCGGCCACTGGCTGTCCATCCCCACTAGGGACAAGCGGCCTCACCCTAGAGGGCTTTGGATCCCACCCAAGGGAGGGAGGATGGCGTCTGGACCCACTGAGGACGAAGCTCTCAGGGGCTGACCCCCCCCCGCCCCCCAACCCCACATGGGGTGACTGGCACTCCCCAGAGCCCAGTCCTCAGGTCCCCAGCAGGGAAGGCCGTCAAGCAGCAGCGAGCTGCCCCAGGCCCTGCCGGCACCGTGTTCCACCCTGTCTGGACAGCGGGGCCCCGTGGGGAGAGAAGCCCCACAGTGCCTGGCCCGCCAGCCCCCACGGAGCCCCCAGAGATGGGCGGCAGAGCTGTTGCCCCCCTGGAGCGCCTGGGCGTGTGGCAGGAAGCCAGGCTGCCCTTCTCCCGCTTCCTGGATGAGGTCACCGAGAGGGTGCTGGACCCTAAAACCTTGGAGGGCTTCAAGGGCCCCAGAGGCCGCAGCCCGGAGGCCTCTCCCGGGGAGCCTCTGGCTGGAGCCCCAGAGGAGGACCAGGCCCCGGGGCACCAGGGTCTGTCGGCTGCCACTGGAGTAGCCGCAGTCAGAGCAGGCTCAGGCCAGGCCTCCGACCCCAGGGGACCTTGGGGGAGCAGCGGACTGGAAAGCCAAGCCTCCTTCTCCAGCACGTGCCGGGTGAGTGGAGCCCCAGTCTGGACCCCAGCGTGAACCCCTTGCCTGCATCGCCGGCCCCCGCCCAGCCCCCTCTGCCCTGTCCACAGCACCTGCCACAGAGCGCATCTCTAAGGGGAAGGCTCTGGCTTCCAGTCAATGCTCAGCAGCTGATTGCTGGGGCAATACACTGGGGCCAACAACAACGATGACCGTGATAATAATACCACCTCCCTCACGTGCCAGCTCCACCACCGGCTCTCCTGAGCTCGGCCTAGGTGTCATGGGCTAACCTCCGACCTCTCTGTCCCGCCAAGGCATGCCAGGGCTGGGTTGGCAGGTGTGTGGTCAGCTCTCCTGTGGGGAGTCTCTGGGGCAGCCCTGCCCTGTTGACATGGGGGCCAGCCATCGCTGAGTGTCCACTGAGTGGCTCTGAGCCCCTGTGCTCGGCGCTGTGTCTCCAGGAGTTGAGGAGGAAACTGAGGCACAGAGCAGTCACGCGGGGTGTCCCGGTGTGTGAACCTCACACCCACCAGCTCCGCTCAGTGAAGCCCCATGGCGCTCTGCCTCTCGGAGCACCACCCCTAGCTCAGGCCCATTCTCATCCGCCTCAGTTTCCCAGTGCTTATGCAGTACCGTGTGCCCGTTTCCCCTGCCTGAGTCCTTCCCTTCCAGTCCCGGCCTCCTGCCCAGCGCCCCTCCTCTTGGGACCCTGCCTGCGTGCAGCTCTGTGCCACGCTGACTGACTGCCCTGGAGCCCCTGGGTCCAGGAGTCTCTGATACTCAGATTTCTGTTTCTGCATGCAGTGCCCTTCTGGGCCTGGGGACATGCTGGGACCCAGAGAAAGGGCTAGAAGGGGGACCGCAGGGCAGCAGAGCTAACACCTGGCTCCCTGGCTTCAGGCTGAAAGGCCATTCTGAGGAAAACGGCCAGGAAGCCCTTTGTGAGCCGCTTCCAGGAAGCGGACTTGAGGCTGAAGCGCCCTCATACTACCGAGTGAATGTCTTAGGCCAAACTTTGGCAAATAGGTCAAGAAGAGAGCAGAATGCAAAGCCAGGGTCATCGGCTGGGAGGGGCAGGGATGCTGGTCCTGACGCCAGCTGGTGCTGTCGTTGGATCCTGTCCAAGAGACTCTCTTGGGCCTCACACAAGCCCACCTGGCCTCAGGCCTCACCGGTGTGTCCGGTACCTGCCGAATGCCCACTGCTCCCAAGAGTGGCCGCTCACCTGCTGTGTCCATGCTCACATGGGAATGGAGATGGACTTGCCAGATCTCCCACATTTTTCAGTAGAAGCCCAAAAGCTGGATTTTAAAATGCAAATTCTCCTGATTTTAAACGTTGGCTCAAATGTTGAGAAACAGAGACAGAGACAGAGACCTCAGGCAGGCCAAGTGCAAGGCTGGCAGGCAGATTTAGCTCAGAGAGGCCAGTTTCCATCACTACCCCCTGTCCTGTGCTCAGCTGGGCACTGGGAGCCCAGGCTAGCCCCACAGAGCCAAGACCAGTCTCAAAGAGATGGGGGCCAATAACACAGCCAGGTCCTCCCGAGCCGAGGAAGGACTTGCTTGGACTTGGGGTCTGTGTTCAGGTCCCCCGCGGTACTGGGGTGAGCCCTGGGAGACACCTGGGGAAGCCCAGGCCACCTGTCCTCTGTCCTCCACATGCCGGGGACAGGGCATGATGCTACGACCCTCTCTGCTTCTGGAAATACCTGCAGGTCATCCCTCCTCCCTCTTCTTCCCCTGGCTCCTCCTTGGCTGCCCTGCCCCCTCCCCGCCCCGCCCTGCAGCTCGGGCCCAGTTCCCTCCCACCCTGTGATTTCTGCAGGCTCACCTCCTTCCCTGGCCAGCAACAGGGACTCGGAGGCGACCCCTCCCTGCTCCACACCTCCTGGCCCTTCCCTGAACCACAGCCTTGCCCGGTGCAGGAGCCCTTGTGGCTCTCTTTGGGGTCCCTCCTGCCACAGCTTCCCCTCTCCTCCCAGGAACCCCCCCATCCTTCTCCGTGCACTTTCTCCGTGGGGTGCATGGCACATGGACTTCCTGGTGGGCTCTGCCTTAGCTCAGCGGCTGGCAAAGGCAGGGGCCTGGTGTAAGTGTGTGCATCCCCCTCCCCCACCAACAGCTCCCTTACTGGGCGCCCGGCCAGTGTTTGTTGAATGAATGTGAGAAAGGCAGGGAGCAATATAAAACATCTTGGAAAGGAGTCCTCCCCGAATGAGTAATGAAAAGGCTGCAGCCTGTCACCAGCCCATCCCCAGGGCTGGCAGTCTCTTACACACAACCACCTGCTGCTCACGTGTCCCTGGAGAAGCTTCCATCCTTCCCTCCTAGATGAGAGGCTGAAGCTCCGAGAGGTTGTTAAGTCTTGCGTAAGGTCGCACAGCCCTGTGGGAGGCTGTGGTCACGGCCCTGGAGAGCTGGGCCTTGTTCAGCCTCCAACCCCAGGCCTCCAGCTGCTTTTCCCTCCACTCAGGTAGGCCCAGGGAGCGGATGGGGGGGGGGGTGGCTGAAGGGCCTGTGGCAGGTGGGAGGAGGCCCAGGGCAGAGCCCTGGAGTTGGAGTTGGACAGAGCCCAGGCCTGTGCCCTCCCCATCCAGGGTTGGTGGGGCACAATGTCTGTGCACACTTGTGTCCTGAGCGCATGTGCACATGCATTTGGCCTACAGCATCGGCAGTGGTGGGAGCCCCTCCCCCCCACATGCCATCAGGGGTGTCGCTTAGTGAAGGAAGGTACGGGCAGTGCAGACTCTAGGACAGAACATTCCAGAAGGCAGGAAAAGGGGCAGAGTCCCTGAGGCAGGCAGGTGCTGGTGGCTGTGGGGCCTGCAGGGCGGGCAGGTGGCTGACACGTGCTGAGAGAGTTCCCTCCCTAGGTGAGTCCTGACTGGCAACACAGTCAGCTCTGGCAGAAGCTTCTGGGAGCACCGCCGATGCACGAGCCACTGGGCCCAGGTGGCAGCTGGGGGGGGGCAGGGTCCAGGCGTTCACGTGGTATGGATGGTGGCTCTGTCTCTTGGGCCTCTGAATGGGCACCAGAGACATAGGGTCTTGGGACTGCAAGCTGGCAGGGAGTATTGAAAGCAGGGAGCAGGGAGAGGAGGCTGGCCATGGGCTCAGGGAGCTCAGGCCAGCAGTGGCAACAGGAAGGGCTGGAGCCCAGAGGTGCCAGGAGGTGGCAGGGGCGCTGTCCAGTGTGGCTGGCAGAGAGGGCACAGGCAGAAGTGCGGGGAAGTGGTGCGGGTCGCCAGGCTGGGCCTCTGGCGTCCAGGGTGGACAGTGGGGACTGGGGGTCCCTGGAGGGGCGGTGCCCCGTAGCAGGGCAGGGCTGGAGGTCACAGAGGGCCCCTGTGTGCCGGCTGTGTCATGCTGGAAGGCTCTGCTCATGTCCAGAGGGGAGGTTCTTTCTCTCGGCCTCCCCCCACAGTCCCCACCTTTCCTCTCCACAGCCCGGCCCCAGCAGCCCCCCGCAGTGCAGCCCATCAGGCAGGCCTCAGCCTTCCCTGTGCACAGCCTTATGGAGACAGGGTGGCCCTGGTGGGCAGAGGCAGGAGGTTCACAAGTTCTAGGCCAGCCTTAGCTACCTGGGGAGGGAGACCCGGCCCCCGAAACGAAACAGTGGACCGTCATCTTGTGGTTAGAGAATGGCAGAGCCGCGGCTGCGTGAACCCGGAGCAGTGGGGGAGGAGGGCACTGCGCAGAGCTGTGGGCATGGCCCGCAGGGAGCTCCTGTGTGCCGCTGCAGAGCCTCACACGCGGCTCGGCGCCCCCTCCGCGCCCCCGCCCCCACTCCACCGCAGGACCCCGTGGGGGTCTGTCTGGAGGCCACGGGACAGGCCCTGGATCACCGACGATTGGAGGGCTCCATGGAGGACCGCAGGCAGGTGCCAGGGTCTGCAGCGGCAGTGAAGGTCAAGGCCGGCTGGCTTCCATCTCCTGACCTGCCCAGCCTCCCCCCCCCTCCCCTCCCCAGGCCTCCCAAGTCCCCACTCCCACCCCACCCCTACCCCCGGTGCCAGGGGAGCTCCCAGAAGGTCCTTCCAACAGAGCTAAAACATCCTATGTAAATAATTGATGCCGGCTTTTTTAAAATTAAATTTTAATGCTTTCTTATTAATTCTAGACAAACGCCCCGACAGGTCATTCATCCCCCGCGGGTGATGGAGGCCCCCCTCCCCGGCGACAGCGCGGGGACCGTCCCAGCCGGTGGGTGGAAAAGGCCTCGTAGGAACCGGAGTCCAAGCCCGGCGGGGCTCCCCCACCCTGTGAACCTCTCATGTCTGAGTTGGTACCGTGCGCTCTCCCGGAGGAGGCCTAGGGGAAGAGGCCCTCCCCCGGGGGCGCGGGGCAGCAGGAGGGCGCGGGCCCTGCGCTCCGCTCCTGTCCTCCCCTGTCCTCCCGCCGCCCGGCTGACACTGGACA